GGAGAAACACAGAGCTGCTCTAAGAGGAGGAGCAACACTGGAGGGAGGAGAGCTGTAACGTCACTTTCCATAAATGAAACTTATCGTTTGTCAGAGCTGCAGTGGAGACACGTCTCTGGATTTTCTGTCTGAAGGAAGATTAAACTGTTTGTCAGTTCTTTCTCAGCACTTTACTCAAATACTGGTGAGTACAGCTCATAATATTTACTGAGATTAAACAACCAGGGGGGTATACTACGAAGCAGGATTTTCGCTTAGCCGGCTAAATTCAGGGGAAACTCCGGCTTTCCGGTCCTCCGAAGCTGGTTCTCTTTTTAGCAGGCTAGATCTCCATGGTAACTTATGCTTAGCGGCTAACCTGGTCGGGACCAGGTTAGGTTGCAGGCTAAGAGCTCAACTCAGTGAAAGCACTGCCTGCTGACCAATCAGAGCTCAGTGTGCGGAGTTTAAAGCGATCAAGTCATATTACAGGAGAAAGGAAATACAGAAAAACTGCCATTGCAGGAAAGACGGCCGGCAAAAATCACCGACTGTGTGAACGTGAAAATGAATAGAATATCACCTCCCATCTTCAGAGCAATCTGACTATTATAACATTAGCGTTAATAAAGCTTACTTAAATATCTGCCACAACATAAGTACACTGAGTGCAGACGATGTGTCCCATTATCATTCATATCACATCATATCACATCATAATGTATCATATATCTCCTTATCTGAGTCAGCTTCTTGAGCCGTATCTGGCCGTGCAACACTCACAGTGTCACATACTGTATGCAGAAGTATTATTTTAAGCAGCACATTAAGTTGACGAAACACTCGAGACAAATGTAATTAAAGTCAGAACGTGTTTTAGACGGGGCAGTGATATCATAAACCTGTTAATGTACGCATTCAAACACTTTTTCTTTTGCCAGCTGTATTCACCTTGCAGGTGCAGCTATGTGGCTTTTATCCTGGATAAAGTGTTTAAGACATGGATGTTTAAAGTTTAACTTCTTCATATTTGACTAGTATTAAAGTTCACTTTTCATTGAGGAAGTATGACGCTGCGCTGTCAGTGCGCTTCTCCATGTTTGTGATTGGTCGAATGCTCCAAATACCACCCCTTTCATGTGAACGCGCACCTAACTAGATAGGACACGGCTGGCTTGAGCGATCCACTTGATAACCAGCGTCGTAGGACCGTTTAGCGAGAGCGCGTATGTTTTGGATTAGGCCAACCGGCTAACTCAAACATATCCAGGTTAGGTTGAACCAACTTCGTAGTATAGGCCCCAGGATTAACACAACACGTACAGCTATAAACAAACAGGAAGTAAATCAGTTGAAGTAACTTTTCAGTTGAGTTAAAAATACCTACAAAGTTATTTTTAATGCAGTAATCATACTTTATTCGTTATACAGATTTGACTTTGACTTGAAATATGTGTGTAACAAAATATTTAAATGAGGCCCTAATATCCTTTTGGGTTTTTCCTTTCCTGTAGTGTGTCATAGGTTTGTGTGCATGTAAATGGTCTGCTAAGGTTAAAGACCCTGTGTTCCCTCCAGAGGGAGTTTCTCTCCCACACACTCCCCCACTGCCTGCAACGCCTCCATTATTTGTTTGATTCCTGAACATAGTGACATCACATGTAACATTCACATCTCTATTGGCTAGAGCACCAACACATTGTGCGTGATAGGCTAAGGGGCGGGACATCTCTAAGCGGTTGACCAATCACAACAGAGTCAGCCAGCTAACCAATCAGAGCAGACTGGACTCTGGTTTCAGACAGAGGGTGAAAAGAGGTGCTGCAGCACAGGCAGTATAAGAAAAATAAAGAGCTTTTTGAACATTAAAGCATGGAGACATGTCGCAGAGGCATAAAATACAATTATAAAATGTTAAAATTTGCATAATATGTCTTCTTTAATAATACTTTGACTTTTGTTCTCAGACATGTCTTCTGTCAACTGCCTGCTATCCGAAGAGCAGTTTCGGTGCGCCATCTGTCTGGATGTGTTCAGGGATCCAGTCAGCACACCATGTGGACACAACTTCTGCAAAACCTGCATCACTGCACACTGGGATACTAATAACAGATACATTTGTCCCCTGTGTAATGAGGGTTTTGAAAAAAGACCTTTTTTGAGGGTCAACACTTTGTTTTCTGAGATGGTTGGTGAGTTCAGACAGTCGGCTCAACAGAAAGCCAACCGCAAACGGTCACAGCAACAATCGTTCACATCAGTAAACGTTTCCTGTGACTTTTGCACTGGAACCAAACTGAAGGCCCTGAAGTCATGCCTGGTGTGTCTGGCCTCCTACTGTGAGACTCACCTGGAGCCTCATTTAAATGTGTCAGGTCTGAAAAGACATCAGCTGATCGACCCTGTGGAGAACCTGGAAGACAGGATGTGTCCGAAGCACGATAAACCTCTGGAGCTGTTCTGTAAGACCGACCAGACATTTGTCTGTCTGCTCTGCTCTGCTTTAGACCACAAGATGCATGAGTTTGTTCCTCTGAAAGATGAATATGAAGACAAGAAGGTTGAGCTGGTGAAGACAGAGGCTAAAATTCAGGACATGATCCAGAAGAGACGAGTAAAGATTGAGGCGATCAAACACTCAGTAAAGCGAAGTACAGAAAATGCGCAAATGGAGCTATCAGAAGGTGTTCAGGTCTTCAATTCTCTGAACAATTTGCTTGAGAGAGGCCTGAATGAGCTCTACAAAACAATAGGAGAGAAGGTGACAGCAACACAGAAACAGGCTGAAGGCCTCATCAAAGAGCTGGAACAGGAAATATCAGATCTGAAGAAGAGAAACACTGACGTGGGGCAAGTCACACGCTCAGAAGACCACCTCCATGTTCTCCGAAGCTTCCCGTTACTGAAAGCTGTTCCACCCACAAAGGACTGGACAAAGATCAACGTCCATGTACCTTCATATGAGAAAGCTGTGGAGGGGGCCTTGATCCAGCTGGAGGAGACCCTTGATAAAGAGATGAAGAAGCTGCTCGGTGAGGCTGAGCTGAAGAGGGTCCAGAAGTACGCAGTGGATGTGACTCTTGATTCTGATACAGCACATCCTGAACTCATCCTGTCTCCTGATAGGAAACAAGTGAGTCTTGGTGATGTAAAGAAGAATCTTACAGACAACCTACAGAGATTTTCTCATTATAATTTTGTTTTGGGAAGGCAGAGTTTCTCTTCAGGCAGATTTTACTACGAGGTTCATGTTCAAGGGAAGCCTAAATGGAATATAGGAGTGGCCAGAGAGTCGATCAACAGGAAGGGAGAGTTCAACATGAGGCCTCAGGACGGTTACTGGACTATATGTTTGAGAAATGGAAATGAGTACAAAGCTCTTGATTCTCCATCAGTCAGTCTCTCTCTGAAGTCTCAGCCTCAGAAGGTGGGGGTGTTTGTGGATTATGAGGAGGGTATGGTCTCCTTTTATGACGTAGATGCTGCAGCTCTTATCTACTCCTTTACTGGCTGCTGCTTCACTGAGAATCTCTACCCAATATTAAGTCCCTGTAATAATGATGGAGGCAATAATGCTGCCCTTCTGATCATCGTCAGACCTACTGTCAATCAAACCGCCTGATCTTTGAGATCGGCATGTTGAGCAATGCAAATGAAGCATTGCCAACAATATTTGTACATACAGTACAGTGTATATACACATAAACATGCCAGACAAAATGTTCATAGTAAAATAGGCATAGCGGTCAATACTAGTATACCAATGTATTATAGAAAAAGAAAAAAGTGCTTAATCATTCTTAAATTACAAGATTTAGAAGTCATTAATCGAAATAAAATTACATATTCAGTTGAAATGTTGTCTGAATTTGATATATTATTTGTGTTCTAAACTTAAATATTTGTATTTCATACTTTGGTTAGAAAATTAACAACAACAAAAGGTTACTTTTAAAAAAGGTGCTTTTGTTTGACTTGTTATTAGACTTCTTGGAGTGGTTTCTGTTTTGCTCCACAATGTAGTGATAATTATGAATTGTTTACTTTGTGAATCACTGGACTGGGGATGCACTGATATGCAGTTATTTTAGTTATATCTTAGTTATTGGTATGAATGTTATTTAGCTCTGGGAACTGTTCTGTTAATCTCTTTGGATGTTAATATAAACCATGTCTTTATTCAACTTGTATAGAAAAACTTTGATAACATGCAAGCCTTGTCACAAAACCATGAACAGTGTTGGTATTGGTAAACAACCACGTGCCTTCACAACAACAATACAGATAAGTATTGAGTATGTGAGGGAGAATATCATACTCAACTGAAAATGAGAAAGAGCTACTAAATCAAACAATATACGTTTCCATGAATAAGATCCTTTATACTATGTTTCTAGTTTTGTTTCTATTTTTGTCTTTTTATTAGATGTTTTATATGAAGCATTATGGATGATTGTTCAGTCTTTGCTTGAATAACATATGTACCAGATAACATTGATTTGTAATGGTTTCCTAACGTCCATGATATATCTTTTTAAAGAAGTCACTTAGTCATCAACCTCTTTCATGCGGTTGTGTTAGTGACTATAACAGATGCTATGAATTGAAATAAAAACAGACTTTGTGATCTTTAAAATCTGCTCTGTTGAAGTCAAATCAATCATTTGTGGAAGTGTTTAACTTTGAAACTGAACTCCTGGTCTCTATGCCACAGAGGTGTTCTCAGTGTGGATGTGTTTACCTTGCTTTGGCCACTAGATATCAGCATTACATCACACATAGAGAGAAGAGTTTGTTAAAGGCTTTCACAGACTGCACACAAGACTACTTCCTGGTATGATTGAGCAACAACTACAGAAAAAGGCAAACAAAAGAATGAGACGAAACGGCTAAACATTGCAGGGAAAACAGTGAGCTCGACTTTGCACTGATCTGAAGAGCACTGTTGGTCTTTTCTGAATCTAAGATATATTTTTTTTGAGACAACCGTCCTAGTTGCTTTAAGAAAATATGTTAAAAGTATTTCTAAATGTTAAACCTATCTTGTGCCCAGATGTCTGTAGCTTTAATCCTGTCTAACCCTGAAGGAGAAACACAGAGCTGCTCTAAGAGGAGGAGCAACACTGGAGGGAGGAGAGCTGTAACGTCACTTTCCATAAATGAAACTTATCGTTTGTCAGAGCTGCAGTGGAGACACGTCTCTGGATTTTCTGTCTGAAGGAAGATTAAACTGTTTGTCAGTTATTTCTCAGCACTTTACTCAAATATGGGTGAGTACAGTTGATACTATTTACTGAGTTCAAACAACCAGGATTAACACAAAACGTACAGCTATATACAAACAGGAAGTTAAATCAGTTGAAGTAACTTTTCAGTTGAGTTAAAAATACCTACAAAGTTATGTTTAATGCAGTAATCATACTTTATTCGTTATACAGATTTGTCTTTGACTTGAAATATGTGTGTAACAAAATATTTAAATGAGGCCCTAATATGGTTTTGGGTTTTTTTCTTTCCTTTAGTGTGTCATATCGGTTTGTGTGCATTTAAATGGTCTGCTAAGGTTAAAATCCCTGGGTGTTTCTCAATCTCGAGTACGCTTGCTTGGTAGCACGTCTTCCGAGCGTCTTGCTTCAGAAGCGAGGCAAGAATAGTTCCTGGCATTCGGAAAACGAAGAGTGGAACAGGCGAGCAAGTGTGCAGGTGTGCGTCATATGAGAGGCCCCGCCTTACATTTTCCGCCACAGATTTGGGGAAATTGGTCTGTGCGCAAAGCATTGTGGGGATTGTAAGATTGCGGAGTCTACACATGTGCTGCCTAGAAATGTCTCCAAACGAAGTACGCCAGGCTCGGTAGAATTCCAAGTATGCTGGACATTGGAACAGTACTTCGGCGGCACTCGATAGTATGCTTGAAATAGTGGCTCTGGAGCAGCTTTACTGGAGATTGAGAAACACCTCCTGTGTTCCCTCCAGAGGGAGTTTCTCTCCCACACACTCCCCCACTGCCTGAAACGCCTCCATTGGACTCCTTTCTTTAATTCCTGATTATAGTGACATCACCATGTAACACTCGCTCTTCTATTGGCAAGAGCTCAAACACATTGTACGTGATAGGCTAAGGGGCGGGACATCTCTAAGCGGTTGACCAATCACAACAGAGCCGGCTAGCTAACCAATCAGAGCAGACTGGACTCTGGTTTCAGACAGAGGGTGAAAAGAGGTGCTGCAGCACAGGCAGGATGAGAGAAATAAAGAGCTTTTTGAACATTAAAGCATTGAGACATGTCACAGTAGAGACACTACATACAATTATAAATTGTTACATTCGCATTATATGTCTTCTTTAATAATACTTTGACTTTTGTTCTCAGACATGTCTTCTGTCAGCTGCCTGCTATCCGAAGAGAAGTTTCGGTGTGCCATCTGTAGGGATGTGTTCAGGGATCCAGTCAGCACACCATGTGGACACAACTTCTGCAAAACCTGCATCACTGCAGCCTGGGATAATAATAATAACAGATGTCCCCTGTGTAATGAGGGTTTTAAAAATAGACCTTTTCTGAGGGTCAACACTTTACTCTCTGAGATGGTTGGTGAGTTCAGAAAGTCGGCTCAACAGAAAGCCAACCGCAAACGGTCACAGCAACAATCGTTCACACCAGTAAATGTTTCCTGTGACTTTTGCACTGGAACCAAACTGAAGGCCCTGAAGTCCTGCCTGATGTGTCTGGCCTCCTACTGTGAGACTCACCTGGAGCCTCATATAAATGTGTCAGGTCTGAAAAGACATCAACTGATCGACCCTGTGGAGAACCTGGAAGACAGGATGTGTCCGAAGCACGATAAACCTCTGGAGCTGTTCTGTAAGACCGACCAGACATTTGTCTGTCTGCTCTGCTCTGCTTTAGACCACAAGATGCATGAGTTTGTTCCTCTGAAAGATGAATATGAAGACAAGAAAGTTGAGCTGGTGAAGACAGAGGCTAAAATTCAGGAGATGATCCAGAAGAGAGGAGTAAAGATTGAGGCGATCAAACACTCAGTAAAGCGAAGTACAGAAAATGCGCACATGGAGCTATCAGAAGGTGTTCAGGTCTTCAATTCTCTGATCAAGTTTCTTGAGAGAGGCCTGAATGAGCTCTACAAAACAATAGGAGAGAAGGTGACAGCAACACAGAAACAGGCTAAAGGCCTCATCAAAGAGCTGGAACAGGAAATATCCGATCTGAAGAAGAGAAACACTGACGTGGGGCAAGTCACACGCTCAGAAGACCACCTCCATGTTCTCCGAAGCTTCCCGTTACTGAAAGCTGTTCCACCCACAAAGGACTGGACAAAGATCAACGTCCATGTACCTTCATATGAGAAAACTGTGGAGGGGGCCTTGATCCAGCTGGAGGAGACCCTTGATAAAGAGATGAAGAAGCTGCTCGGTGAGGCTGAGCTGAAGAGGGTCCAGAAGTACGCAGTGGATGTGACTCTTGATTCTGATACAGCACACCCTGAACTCATCCTGTCTCCTGATAGGAAACAAGTGAGTCTTGGTGATGTAAAGAAGAATCTCCCAGACAATCCAGAGAGATTTTCTCATTATAATTTTGTTTTGGGAGGGCAGAGTTTCTCTTCAGGCAGATTTTACTCCGAGGTTCATGTTCAAGGGAAGCCTAAATGGAATATAGGAGTGGCCAGAGAGTCGATCAACAGGAAGGGAGAGTTCAACATGAGGCCTCAGGACGGTTACTGGACTATATATTTGAGAAATGGAAATGAGTACAGAGCTCTTGATTCTCCGTCAGTCAGTCTCTCTCTGAAGTCTCAGCCTCAGAAGGTGGGGGTATTTGTGGATTATGAGGAGGGTCTGGTCTCCTTTTATGACGTAGATACTGCAGCTCTTATCTACTCCTTTACTGGCTGCTGCTTCACTGAGAAACTCTACCTAATATTAAGTCCCTGTAGTAATGATGGAGGCAATAATGCTGCCCCTCTGATCATCGTCAGACGTATTGTCGATCAAACCGCCTGATCTTTGAGATCGGCATGTTGAGCAATGCAAATAAAGCATTGACAACAATATGATAACATACACTGTATATATATATTTACACATAAACATGCCAAACAAAATGCTCATACTAAAATAGGCATCGCGGTCAATACGGGTATGCCAATGTATTATAGAAAAATAAAAATAAATTGCTTATTCATTCTTAAATGACAAGATTTAGAAGTCATTCATCGAAATAAAATTAAATATTCAGTTGAAATGTTATCTGAATTTGATTTATCATTTGTGTTCTAAACTTAAATATTTTTCCTTAATATTTGGGGGAAAAAAAAGAAGAAGTTATTTAAAAAAAAGTTGCTTTTGTTTGACTTGTTATCATTTTAAGGCTTCTTGAAGAGCGTATTTGATTAGTGTTTTTTTATTATGCAGGACAATGTAGTGATAATTAACATCGATGTATTGCTGGACTAGGGATGCAATTGTTCTGCATATTTCAGTTTGCCTTTAAGATCTTACTTATTTGAGTTGTACATTATTTGAGTGTCAATGCCAGTTAATCTATATAGATGTTGATATGGACAAAGTATTTTTATTTAAAAATTTTTTAGAACTGTGAAGGGGCTGCATTGGATGTATGACTGACCATTAAAATTAGTTTATTTAACTAAGAACACCGACTAGATGGTACCTGAGAAATAAAATGGGGGGGCAACAGTTTATTTTCCAATTCCTACCACATCACTTCTGGTACATTTGATCTGGAACCCTTTTTTGAAATATACCTTCATTTTGATCTCATCTACAAACAGATACATTTTCGTGAGTGCATTTTTGCATGGTTGTATCAAATCAAATCAAGTTTTATTTATATAGCACATTTATAAACGATTTTTGGTCGAGCCAAAGTGCTGTATATATAACAAAAATAGCCTACAGTAGAGACACTTTACAGCTAATACAATAGCACAGATTGTTCAGAATATCAGTATGAGAAAAAACGACACCCTCTATCCTTAGACCCTCACATCGTACAAGGAAAAACTTCCAGAGAAAAACCCACAGTTTAAGGGGAACATGGGAGAAACCTCAGGGAGAGCAACAGAGGAGGGATCCCTCTCCCAGGACGGACATACGTGCAATAGATGCCGTGTGTAAATCGAAGAGATAATACATTTTACAGCATAGGTTGTCCAAATGTTAGGAAATGCATGTGTCTGTAATAAGAAGATGAATCTACGAAGATGTCAGCTACAATCCTGTGGGAGCCTTCAGGGAGGCAGCAAGACGAGACCCAGGCAGGACCGCAGAGACAGGTTTAGCCACGAAAAATAAGGTTGTACACCTTCACAACATCTTTAATTTTACTTGAGTAAGATTTTGAACACAGGACTTTTAATTGTGACAGAGTATTACATACTCTGGTACTTTTACTAAAGTACAAGATCTGAGTACTTCTTCGACCTCTAAGGTACTAGAATACTGACACTAATACCATGGATTGCAGGTTCCAGCTTCCCAAATATAAATTACATTATACTGACATAAAACTAAATATCTCTGGTTTAGACTTTTATCAGTCACTTTTTTAAACTTGTATTGACATTTAATATACTCATAATTTCAACTCAAGATTGATCAATTCTTTCTGAAAATGTACAGGAATGCACTTATTTTTTGTTTTGCAATTTTTGAGAATGAATGGATAACAACTGTGTTTTGTTAACACTGTGTTGCAGAATGACAATAAATGATCCATAAACTGATTGATATCCTACTTCTTTTACAGCTGTGGATTTAAATATATATTTACCATTCGGTTAATGATTGATTGTCAACAGTGTTATAGTTATTCAATCATTTGGTTATTGAGTTTTGATGTCTCACCTATTCATTTTCTTACCTCAGTATTTTAACTGTGTATTGCCTCTTGCTTGTTTGCATTCACGTTGATTAAATAAAGTACATGGTCCTGTTAAAGTAATGTCTAGTCGAGTCATTTTTCATTGAGGTAAAAGATTCAATTCCATGTCAGACATCCACACTGGTTTAAACTGATGTCAGGTTTTCTGATGGATTTCAGACAATAGTTGGTGTGTGTTTTCAGTCCAGTCTCTACAACTCATTTCTGTTTGGTTGCTAACCCCACATCAAATATTTCTGAGCTCATAGTAAGAGCTGTAGTCGCTTTTGTAGAGCTATGTTTCACAGGGTGTCCACATATTTTACTTCAAAACTACTTGAAGGGAAATGTAATGTAATGCCATTGAATCTGGCCTAATAACAGCAATATTCTCCACATTGTACACGTAATATAATTTGACATTACCTCCAAAAAGTACAAATCGTGAACAAACAGCATCTCTGAAAACCACATCAGAATCAGATGTGATTACATACGCACATACGAGGAATTTGACTTGGTGTTGTGGTGCATAAATACAAATAAAACAAAATGTAAAACACAGATAGAAAACTTTAATAACGTTAAAACATGTATTAAAAATATAGTAAAATATAGCAGAATATAGCAGTATTTATATAGCGCTTTTCCTGGGGCTCTAAGTGCTTAAATAAAGAGGAAAAGTAAAGAAGCTGGATACGCGTTGGAGGCGGTGACCGGTTCATTTCTATGAGAGTGACTCGGTGGCGCATGAAGCCCAAAAGGAAGCGACCGTAGATTCAGAAAGTACCCGGATCAGCGGGCCCACAGAGCATGCGCAGTGGAGTTTCCCTTAAGCCCCGCCTCCGATCTCCTGCTCTCGGCTCAGTCAAATGAAGGGAGATTAAATAACTCTGGGTTCAACTGTTAGTCCATTTAAAAACTTTTAGACCCTAATCATTTGAATAAGGACTGTAAAAGTGTTCGTGCTGGGTAGTTTATTGAGTTAAAAAATAATTATATGCTGATTTACAGACTACTCTTTCCCAATGCAAGTCAATGCTGCACTTTCTCAATGTGAAAATGACGTCACTGAAGTTGTAGTATCACCGTTTGGCCACTACGTCCATTCACGGAAATCGGCTTCAAATCGGCTCTTCCTGGTGTCTTGTTGTGATGCTGAGGAGAGAGCATCCTCCGCTGCAGCGTTTTCACGCAGGCAGGCCGTGTGTTTTCATAGATGCAATGACAGAAAGAGGAGATTTATTATTCTTACTACAGGTTATATTATCACCGTGAGTTCACACTGCTCTCGGTGGCATCCTGAGCTCCATGATGGTGGATTTATCCGGGAATGGTGCAGTGTCGCCCGGACACACCAGACACGGACAGGGCTCCGGGAATACCGGGAAGAAAACGTCGAAAAAGTCGAGAACGAAAAGAGGCAAACGAGGCAGGAAAAGACGGAATAAAAAGAACATCAGGAACAACAAAACACCACCACCGTATTTCCCACCGGAGGTAGCTAACATCCGGGACATCAAGCCTGCTAAAGTAGCAACAAAGCTAATAGTGCTGCAGTAAACCCTGCTAGTTTAAAGCTAACTACTGATACACAGAGGTGGGAAGTAACCAAGTAGATTTACTCGAGTACTGTACTTAAGTAACATGTTGATATACTTGTACTTTACTTGAGTATTTCCATGTTATGCTACTTTGTACTTCTACTCCACTACATTTATCTAATAGCCTACCTTTAGTTACTTTGCAGATCTGGATTAATGATTAAGTGTTAAATCAGACTTTAGTTCCACCTGGAGTAAATTCACAAGCTACCCTGCAGTATACAAAGTCATGCAAACTAGCTGCACCTTTACCAGCTTTGAGAACACTTTAATGATCAATCATTATAAAACATATCATATATTATTCTGAAATGGACCAATCTGCACAATGGGAACCTTTGGTACTTTAAGTATATTTTGATGTAAATACTTTCGTACTTTTACTTTAGTACATTTTGAGTGCAGCACTTTTACTTATAACAGAGTATTCCTACACTCTGGTACTTCTACTTTTACTTAAGGAACCAGAATCAGAATTCATTTATTTGTCCCACAGCAGGGACATGTACAGTGTTACAGCAAAAGTGGCATAGCAGGTAGAAAAGGGTATGCGATAATAAGGAAAAGCACACATAACTAATAAAATAAAGACAAATAAGTACACAACCATGACTAGTAGCATCAATGTAAGTACAACCAAGTGACACATTGCATATTAAAGTATTGCGACTTTAATTTAAAAAAAAGTTTCGGGACAATTATGAAAATATGTATTTTTTACATGAAGTAATTATAGCACCAGTCAAATTGCAAATACGTGTTTGTGTTGCACATTGCATGTTTATTGCACAAGACTTAATCAAACTCAATACTCTCAAGCCAACTGCTGATGGGCTGTAAGAAGTATTCAGATGCTTTACTTGAGTAAAAGTGCATTCAAAATCTAACTTTAAGTAAAACTACTGGCATCAAAATTACAGCAGCATCAAAATATACTAAAAGTACCAACAGTATAAGTACTTATTGTGTGTAATGTCCCATTTCAGAATCATATATACAAAATTACTTGATCATGATTATTGATTGCAGAACTATTTGTCAGACTCAATTAAGGGAGCATATACTTTTTTGCCCTTTTCATGTTTACATTTTAAGTTGAGTCCTTTAACCATTTGTCTGTTGTCCTCATATGTCTTCTTTCTCTCCACTATTTCCAGGCTGAAGAAGGAAACATTGAGTACAAGGTAACTAACTCTTTATTTACTGCTCTGATTTAGTCTATTGCAGGCTTTGCACTTCAACTATGAACTGTAGAACACGTTGAATGTATATCTACTTCTGTAATTCCTCTCTGAATGCTGAAGGAGATGATTTGTCGGGACAGATTGGGGTGCAGCTCTTCTGGGAATTACTGACAAAAATGGGTTGTAATAAATGTCAATAAACAAACAATTCTTAAAATCCATACTGGCTTCTCGATGTGTTCCATACAGGACAGTATGATCATAACACAGGTATTACATTTAATTATATGTGTTATTAAAACATGCAGGAAACACTACTGACTGAATTTAACTTTAACATTTTTTTCCTTTATTTATATTCCATTATATTTGACCGTTACCACTTTAATTTGGTTTAAACTCGTTAAGCTATGACTCTTGTTTCTTGTCATAAAAATGTTCCATAAAAACCACAACAGACTTTGTACCTCGGTCCTCTCTGTTTACGGACTCTCTTATCTTAACAGGACTGTACTGTGCTGAAGTTAGGAGGAAAACATGATCAACATGACGCTGTTACAGAGCCTTAAAAGTTTTATTCTGCTACAGCTGTATAAAAACATCTTCAGCTGACAGTCTGTCTACTCTGTTGCACACGTTTGTCTGGACCAAGATCTCAATATATTAAAATGTTATTGATCATATGACCTTTCTTTTAGTGTCACCCTCAGGACAGACTTCACATTACCTTCAATCTTAAAACCAGCAAATCTCACTATGATTTTAGTTCCATTAAACACTAAAGTACTTGATATTCTATGATAATAATCATATGAAATAATAATAATAGTTATTATACTATTGATTGCAGTTGCATTTATATATACACACACAACATATATAAATCTTTTTTGAATAACATATTTGATGTTTGATATATTTGTAATATTTGTATTGTATAGTGTTAAGTGGATATTTGAGGCCCACATCAATATTTCAGGGATTAAATCTGCTACTTATTTTCTTTTTGTCTTTTAGGTTAAACACAGAATAAAAAAAGGGTCTTAATTTGGTCATACATGTTTTTGATTTTACAGGGTAAAAATAAATGAGGTGGTCAAACTCACAGGAAATGTGTAGATGTCAGTAATGCAAACATATTTCTGATGTTTTATAGACAAATCTATTAATACATTTGTGTTGCAGCCCCACATGTTTTATCAGTCAGGCTCTTACTTACAGGGAAGCTCCTAAAGGTACCGTTATCTTACATTAAGATTACAATGTAAAGTGGTAGAATTTAAGTTTGGAGTCGGGCTCTGTGGATATTTACTTTAGTTTGAATGTGTGTTTGGTGCGTGATCATTATTCTTTAGAGTCATTGCGTGCCTATTGATTTGAACACGATCCGTGTATCCATCATTTCCTGGTCTTCTCTAAAGAAGAGGGACCAATGAAAACGTTGTCATGTTGCCGTTGTTCAGCATGGAAACATTCATTAGCTAACAATGACATTATTGTTCTATTAATATAAAGGGAGGTCAGGTACTCTTTAAAACAGAGCTAGTTATGGGTACTTTTTACTGAAGGATATTTCAAAGCCCATACTTCCTTACTTTTACTTGAGTAAAGAAGTTTAGTCAGTACTTCTACCAGAGTATTTCTGAACACGAGTATCTGTACTTCTACTTGAGTAAAGGATGTGTGTACTTTTGCCATCTCTGTGTAGTTGAAGCTGGTGAACCCCACCCAGTACCGGTTCGAGCACCTGGCCACGCAGCTGAAGTGGCGTCTTCAGGAGGGCCGGGGCGAGGCGGTGTATCAGATCGGAGTGGAGGACAACGGGCTGCTGGTGGGTCTGAGCGAGGCCGACATGAGGGCCTCGCTGAAGACCCTCAAGAGGATGGCAGAGAAGTAGGTCACGTGATTTCAGAGTCTGTTAGTTAGTGTGTCCAGTTAAATTCACCAAACTCTCCTATTAGTAGACAAAAGTATCGTTGATTTCTCCCTCGAGAGGATGGCAGAGAAGTAGGTCACATGATTTCAGAGTCTGTATCAGCACCTCTGGGTGGAAAGGTATCTCTAAAATATACAAGTTTAAAAGGTTTTTGTGAACTCTAAAATAAGAAAAGCCGAAAGTTTCACATAAAAGAACATTTGCGGCTTTAATCCTAAAGTTTTTCTTACTTTTTTTCTTGTGCGGTCTGTTAGTGTTTCACTCAGTAGTACAATAGACACAATTGTCGTTAATTTCTCGTTTCAGTCTGATGAACGGCACCTGCTCTCGAAGATTTCTTGAGATGTGATCCTTAGCTTAATCTACGACCCTTAGAGCGCCAGTTTTTGGGAAGTGTGTGTTAAAAAAATGCACTTTTGGCTGGTTTGTAAGAAAATAATCAGACGATTAACAAGTCTTATTTGGTAAGATGGAGTCATTTGGTTATCATGATGGTAATGTCGGAAATAGATTATCCCTTTTCTATCAAACTCTTTTTTGTGCATTTCATTTTTGTTGTATTGATACAGATAGCTTTGAATTTCTTAGGCGGGATTTATTTCCTTCCTATCAGTTAAATAAAGGAGCCACTGATTTGTTTTCTGTGATTTACCTCCTGCAGGTTTCACATCCGTTTTTCATTTGTGCACTAAAATAAATTCAAACAGCTAAGTAATAAAATATTTTCAAAACTGATGATCTACTTTGGAAAATGGTGGACGATGGTGTCAAGTGTTTTGTAAGAGGTCTGATCTGGTTTTCTTTCTGTGTCTCATCAGAGTCGGTGCGGACATTACTCTCCTCCGAGAGAGAGAGGTGGACTACGACTTGGACAGAAATACTCGTAAAATCGCAGAAGTCCTGGTCCGAAAAGTTCCCGATGATCAGCAGGTGAGTCCGTCTTCCAGGTTTTGTATGAGCTTAAAAAGGCTTTTAAACCTTTAGTGCGTTTACTCCGGTCTAAATTGGGATGAGTTGAACTGAAAGCCAGGTGAGAACGTTCTCTCCTCTCATTGGTTGGATGTGTCTGGGTCAAAGCAAGAACGTACACAAAATAAAAACGCCAGAAGAAGCTCCTATCTGCTCAAATATCAAGAAGCCATTTCAAATAATTATTTGCGAGGTGATCGTTTATGCCACTAAAAACCTGCTCTAGATTACATTTGTAACCGTACCACCTCCTCAAAAGTGTGATGATGCGGCTGTATTGTCCACACTGAGTCTTACTTAGTCTAAACACTGTTTTGAAAAGGCCCTAAAACATTCAAAAGGACGACAACATGAAAAAACCTCACCTAGGGCGGAGCAATATCATGTCAATACTGTGATATGAGACTAGATATCATCTCAGATTTCTAATATCGTAATATAGCATAAGCGTTTTATTTACCTGGTTTTAAATGCTGTATTAGCACAGACAGTTTTAGTGCTTCTATATTAGCCTTTTTACCGCTTATTCATTATATCCACATAACTAATGATTTTTAAATCAACATTTCATTGAGTAATTATTTTTGGAAAGCACCAGTCAAACCTATGACTGTTGCAATATTGATATTAATGACCAATAAATCTATCAAGTTTGATTTTTATATATATAGAGTGCTTTACAGTGTGTACTTAGACCTGCAGCAAACGAGGAAAAACTCACCAAGAAACCCCACACTTAATGGTATAAAACTTGGAGAGGCAACAGAGGAGGCTCCCTCTCCCAGGACGGACAGACTTGCAGTAGATGTTGTGTGTATAGATTGGTGTCAGTGTGATATTTGATTCTCTCCATGTCACCCATCCCTAACCTCCCCTGAAATGTACCTCACCTGCAGGCAGCAGCAGGCCTTCTTTTTAAACAGGCTTGTAGTAGAGAGTAGACTGTGACCCCTCTCCTGCGTCATGTTGTTTTGGACTGGGGCAGTTCCTGGACCTGCGGGTGGCGGTTCTGGGGAACGTGGACTCGGGGAAGTCGACGCTGCTGGGCGTCCTGACGCAGGGCGAGCTGGACAACGGGCGAGGCCGAGCGCGGCTCAACCTCTTCAGACATCTGCACGAGATCCAGACCGGACGCACCTCCAGCATCAGCTTCGAGATCCTCGGCTTCAACAGCAAAGGAGAGGTGAGAGAGACACTGAAGGAGAGAGAGGGGGGGGGGGGGGGGGGGCAGGGGGGCTATGTGTAAGAGGTTGGTTGCTGACAACGCCACCTGGGGGAGTTTCGCCACCAGAAAATGACTAAAACTAAGGTCTTATACTTTTAAGGACTATCAGGTTCGTTTACACCACGGGCAGAGACAGTTTAAGGGTTAATATCAAAGGCTACTTTATTTATAAAATACAGAATATCTAAAAACACCAGACACTTCAATAAAATCCACACTTTGTGTTTTCACTTAAGTAAAAGGTCCAAAGCATGATCATCAAAGTTAATTAAATAGCTGTGAATCAACTTATTGATGATGTAGATTGTAGATTGTGACATTTCAACATGGGATCAATAAAGTTTACTATTGTTGTATTGTAATTTGAATATACATATTTATCTATATGTTCTGTAGAGTTCTGTTCGTAGAGCAAAATGGAGGCAGTTCTTAATAGCTTTATTAACATAAAAAAGCTGGTACAAAAAACTGGTCAAGGTAACAGGCTAAGCTAATGTAACAGGCTAAGCTAAGGTAACAGGCTAAGCTAAGGTAACAGGCTAAGCTAAGGTAACAGGCTAAGCTAAAGTAACAGGCTAAGCTAAGGTAACAGGCTAAGCTAATGTAACAGGCTAAGCTAAGGTAACAGGTTAAGCTAAGGTAACAGGCTAAACTAAGGTAACAGGCTAAGCTAATGTAACAGGCTAAGCTAAGGTAACAGGCTAAGCTAAGGTAATACAAAGGCAAAGTGGCAAAACATAAACAAGGAACAAACCGTGAAGAAACTGTGACGAGCAGAAACACACATTACATTACATTGCATTTAGCTGACGCTTTTATCCAAAGCGACTTACAATAAGTACATTCGACCAGGAAGACACAACCTTGAAGAAAACAGAATCATATAAGTACATCAGGTTTCATAGAGCAAAAAATGTCAAGTGCTACTCAACTGACTTTAGATAAGCCAGTCCTTTATTAGTATATAAGTGCTTTGTTAATAGTTCTATCGCTCGAAGTGGAGTCGAAAGAGATGAGTTTTCAGTTTGCGCCGGAAGGTGTGCAAGCTATCTGCTGTCCTGATGTCAATGGGGAGCTCATTCCACCATTTAGGAGCCAGGATAGCAAACCCACGTGTTTTTGCTGATGGGAACTTGGGTCCCCCTCGCAGTGCGGGTGCAGCGAGTCGTTTGGCTGATGCAGAGCGTAGTGCACGCGCTGGTGACACCAAGGTGATGACAAACTAAAGGAGATTGCTGGGAAAGACACACACAGACCAATCACATCTACAAGACACACAGCAGGTGGAAAGAATCAGACAATCACCACAGGAGGGAAAAAGCAAAGACAGGAAGTTAAAACAAAACAAAAGACAAAAAGAAAGTTTACTACAAAATAAAACAGGAAACACAAAAACCAAAATCAAGATGCAGTTAGCAGATTTAGGCCCAATCCCAAACCGCCCCATACACCCTACCAGTGGCGTTTTCTCCCGGAGGCCAAGGGAAGCCATGCTTCCCCTGTTTTTTCGGATTGTAGTTATAATTTAAATAAATAAATAAAAACACTTTGTTTTGTTTCGATAATTCTCCTTTGCTGTGCGTTGCTGTCGGCCCGTCTCTCCCCCATTCTCATTTACCTCATTCACACCAACGGTGTTTCGGGGCCGGTTCGGAGCTGGAGCTTGAAAAGCACCGGGTTAACCTGTTCACACCGCAGCGGAGCAGCCTCTTAGCTCCGGAATCCGGTTCGTTTCAAGCACCAAAAAATTGTCCGGCTAGAGCAAAAGCACTGCATACGTCACGCTTACGTCGAGGCGGGGGCAGAGACAGATCAACTCCTGAACAACAACAAAAAGCCAGCGTTTTATCCAGTTTGTACACAACGATGGAGAAACTTAACAAGCAGCAGTGGTCCACTGAAGAGACCAGCTACATACTGGGAATCTGGTCTTCCGAAGAGGTGCAGAGGAAGCTGGAGCACAATCGGCCATTGTTGTTGTTGTCGGTGTGAGCTGTGAGGGGTTTCCGCGCGGTTTGGCTTTATGAAGCAGGCACGCAAACGGTTACGTCATGACGCAAACGATGACGCAATGACGCAGCACCAGTCGGACTCTGAGCGGTGTGAAAAGAGCCTCCGCTAAACCGAAGAACCGGTTCTGAACCTGAAAAGCTCTAGTACAGAGCTTGAACCGGAGTTGCGTTGGTGTGAATGAGGTAATTGAGTATTTTACAAAGAGTGAAACAAACAGCGCCCCTCTAGATGTTATGGTGAAACAGTAGATTGCACTCACTGTTGCGAGAGGAGGCCAGCCGAATCTGGCTTCCCTTGGTGAAAAAAAATTGAGGGATTGACCAATCAGATCAGGCTCACGTGATGCCCCTGCCAACCTGTGATTGGTCAGGGCCATGCCAAGGGAAGTCAGAGGCGGCTGGCTTCCCTTGCCTCACAATCCAATCAAATCGCATAGTGGTGCAGTGACGCATCCTAAAATCCGGAAGTAAGCTGCGCTCGGTTTCCCTCGACAAAAAATCAATGAGATTTCTCCATAGGATTTAGGAAAATAGCTCGAAATAAGGTCAGTGGAGAACGAACCTGTTGGATAAATGCAAGTTTTGTTAAGTCGGATAATATCCACATGTCTACCCTACTTTTATAATTTTCGAATCATAAATCTAATCGATAGAAGATAGATAGCGTCACTGCACCACTCTCACCGCCGTTAGAAAGTAGCAAGCAACTGAAGCAAGTGCAATTATGGAAGGTGGAGATTTGGAGTATTTCATCAAAAATAATTGTACTAAACTTCCGCTACAGCAGCAACAACAAATACAATCTGATGACAGGCCAATGCCCAAACTGGAGCTGTGTACTGCGAGGAAAAAAGAAGCGAATCGGACGTAAAACGTTAAAGGTCTCCTGATTTAGTTTGTGAATGAATGCTTATTAGAGTTTGGGCTGGAGAGTGCGTGCGGACCTGTCGGTTAGATAACAGGCGTGTGTAAGTCCTGCATCTGATACAAATGTGTGTAAAATGATACCGGGTGCTGTAATCACTCATCTGGTTACGTTATCACATTGACCACCACACCCCCGACCCAAAAGAAAGGACGTATTATTGGCTTCCCCTAATTTTTTTCCCACGCCACGCTACTGCACCCTACCCCTACACACTCCCCCTCCGTGACGGAGTGAACTCCGTCTGTAGCCACACTCGCAGCTCAACGAGGCTCCCTCCTGTCAGATGGAGGGAGTAAATACAGCAGCAAGCTTTGGGACGGCCTCCTCTCTCCGGCAGAAACAGGAAATGCCGTAACTGTATGTAACAACGGTTTCAAATCAGCATCTCTTTGACAAAAAATGTAAATTAATAACTCAAATAAAACTCCAAACATCTTTAATCGTGTTTTTTTGTAAAGCTCTTTTAGTTTTAAACCTGATGTTTACAAGTTTCTTAGTTTTTGCAACGGTCTGTAAATATACACAACTTTATAATAAAATGCACACATTTACCTTTTTCTAGACTAAACACAGGTATGATCCTAAGTTAAAACATATGAGGTCATCATGAGGTTGTTAACATCGCAGTTTATCAGTGGATGTTTGCAGGAACTACTTGTTATCAGCTTGTTTCCTGACGGACACACACAGCGTGACTCCGGTCAGGTAGAGACCATTATACATCCATGGTAGAGACCGATCTCCAGTCAGCACCGCTGCAGATTCGCTGTTTGAGGGCTTGATAGCCCACTCCCCCTCCACACCGCTCCACACCCGTTGGTTTGGAACAGCACTTCAGGGCCGGCCCTGACCAATTTGCTGCCCTAGGCAAGATTTTAGCTGGCGCCCCCCCCCCCCCCTCCCCCCAATGCAGACACTTACACTTACTATGACTCGCGCGTGCACGGTTGTGGCATGACCACCAAAACAGAAAGACTGTAACTGTATCTAGTTTCCGATCCATTTAAAAATGATTTAAGTGGGGGGACGGGACCTCACTTCCTCTAGGGGGGTCCGGGGGCATGCACCCCCGGGAAGACTTTTTTTTTTAATATTGAAGTTAAAAGCATCAATCTGGTGTACTTTGAGAGCAACATTAGGAAATCTATGGATACATCTCTCAACACCCAGATGAAACAGAACTCTAAGCAGATTTTCTTTTTCTTTATGGATATTTTACAAATCACTCCCCTTTCAAACTGTATTCTTGTTTATTAATAACAACTTTTTTGTACTGTCATATAGTATTTTATACCTGTTTTTCACCTATTCTCTTATTTTTTTATAACTATAATGATCATATAAAGGTGGGCCTTAACCTCACTGAGCTGAGGTTATCAGAGCCGCTCAGTCTTTTAGGAGAGAGCTCTCTAAAGCTCTCCCCCCGCGGCCGCTTACACAGTAAATTCCAATGTTAATAAAAGCACACAGAAGCTGTGTACGTATTTTGGGAGTTAGATTTATTTTTAAATTAACACAAATACAAAATTAAAACCTATAATTGCACACTAAAACCATTATTTAAAAAAAAAGAACAATTTCACATAAACCTATGGTTTTTACTGGGGCAGTTCAACTTGATTTGGTGGGGGGGTAGTTTATGGGCACTGTACGCAATATAGGCGTAGTTCTGTTACTATAAGATAATAAGATGTACTTTGTTGATCCAAAATTGGGAAATGGTGTTGTTATGAAATAAAAAATAAATTTTTTTTTATTTCTAACTTTTTTTTTTTTTTTTTCTCCCCAATTTTCGGCGCCCCCTATGGGTTGATGCGCCCTTAGCATTCGCCTATACTGCCTATGCCGAGGGCCGGCCCTGCAGCACTTAATATGGCGGACCCTCCGCGTGAACGCGCAAACAGAGGGATAGGGTGTAGGGGGCAGTTTGGGAATGGGCCTGAGTCATAAATTAATGATTTCATTTCTAATATGTTTTTTTCTTCATAAGATTAAAACAGTAACCTAGTTCAATTTGTATGAAATAAAGTAAAATACATTTAATGTACAGAGAAGTGTTTAGTGTTCAAACTTAAACCTTAACATATACAATACAATACAACTTTATTTATAAAGCACTTTAAACCTCCAGACCAAAGTGCTGTACAGGCAAATATACAAAATATCAATATGAAACAAACAGTTTAATATAATTGTATACACTGAATGCTTCCTTTGTCAAGCTACACATGGATTGCCCCCGGGTTTAATACATACTTTTTAAATATTAAACCTGGGGATATCCAATCTGATAAATATATGATTATGACACTGGAAGCTGTTCCAAAGTTTGAGAGTTATTTGAAAGAGTCTGATGACCTGTGTTGTGTTGCAGGTTGTGAACTACAGCGAGTCTCGGACAGCGGAGCAGATCTGTGAGAGCTCCTCTAAGATGATCACCTTCATCGACCTGGCCGGGCACCACAAGTATCTGAAGACGACCATCTTCGGCCTCACCAGCTACTGCCCCGACTTCGCCATGCTGGTGGTGAGCGCCAACACCGGCATCGGTGAGCCGCACACACACACTTTACACACAGGAAGAAACAAAATCACAACAGTGAGCTGCACACACACAGGAAGCAGAGACATTCTATTCAATTTTCTTCAATTTTTTTAAATGTATTTATTAATTTATATTTTATTCAACTTTTTTTTAAATTTGATTTACTTGCACTATTTTATCTGTTTTATTGTGTTGCACTGTTCGAGGATAAGATAAGATAGAACTTTATTGATCCCAATTTGGGAAATGTTTGTGTTGCAGCAGCATCAAAAGACATGGCATTGTACAATACAAATTAAAAGAAATAAACAAGAAAGTAGAAAATATACATGTTGAATATACAAATTAACAATAACAAGATATAAAGCAAGGTATTATATTTACATAAGTATGTGACCTAAGATTGTCATCGACATAACTACACTGTAGCTACACATGGCAATAAAAGCCTTTAAACTTGAAATCACAACATTCATACCTGTGTGATTTTAAAGACGTTCTGGGAACCTCTCGGGGTCGGAGATATGACATCTTCTGCCATGGTGTGTTAGTATAGAGTAGACATTGACTATGTTTACATGCACACTAGTATTGCACTTTAATACGAAAGTTTACATTTTTGCAGCGACTTCAGGAAAACAAGCAAACGTTGCTAAGAGGCCGAGGGCGGGCCTGGTTTCCTTTGTCTGACGTGCTGTCCAAAAATAAGTTGCTGAGAACAAAAATGCATTCAAAATCTTAATTTAATGACAAATGAAATGATCAATTTAATACAATGTGCACAGAAATATATCCCCCTGTCTTCCATACACACCTCACAAAGGTGAACTGGTGATTATATTCAATATATTCACTATCAATATGTAAGAAGTGCCTTTAGCTTTTATTCCAAATCGTCCCTAAACATTCAATACCATATATCCATCATGCTGGAGGAGAAATTAACAACAATACGGTAAAGTCACCACTAGAGGTCAGAAGTGATCTGTGTTTAAATGAGATTATTCTGAGCGAGAGCGGGTTTATTATTAGAACTCAGTCAATTATTAAATATGAGAAAGAAAGATCATAAAAGTTTGAATAGATAAATTAAGATTTTAGGAGGAATCAGGAGTTTAAAATTAGTTACACAATCCATTTCATGCCACGTGTTCCAGGCTGCATTCAATTAATTAGATATATCATGAAAATCCTGCTGGAAAGTACTGATAGAATGGGTTATAATAATAAATCATTCATATAACTAACTAGTGGTTTCAAACATACTTTGCCAATATGTTCTTGAAACAGAAATTAAAAATACCTTAACATTCTTACATTTAAATGAACAAATCTGAGCCTTGCAGAAACCCTGTAACCCTTGTGTCTTAATAGTGTATAATTGAGAAGAACCTAAATGCATTTTTAGACTTTTCTTCATAACAAACTATGAGTTGCTGATTTCAAATAGAATACAAGCATACAAATAAACAATAAGTAATACAAAAAATAAAATAACTAGACACATAAAACCGCTGTTTGCGTGAGATTCTCTCCTGGTAGCTGCCAGCTGGTTTCTGGGTAATGAAGTCCTTTATTCTGATGCCAGCATGCTCACAGTGTTCCCGCTCTCCTCCGTCCAGCCGGCACCACCCGGGAGCACCTGGGCCTCGCCATGGCGCTGAAAGTTCCCATCTTCATCGTGGTCAGTAAAGTGGACCTGTGCTCCCGCGGCACCGTGGAGAGAACGGTCCGTCAGCTGGAGCGACTCCTGAAGCAGCCGGGCTGCAACAAGATCCCTCTGATGGTGTCTGGGGCTGATGATGCTGTGACCGCCGCGCAGCAGTTCACCCAGTCTGAGTGGTGAGTACAAGTACTACTAATACTACTACTACTGCAGCAGTTCACCCAGTCTGAGTGGTGAGTACAAGTACTACTAATACTACTACTACTGCAGCAGTTCACCCAGTCTGAGTGGTGAGTACAAGTACTACTAATACTACTACTACTGCAGCAGTTCACCCAGTCTGAGTGGTGAGTACAAGTACTACTAATACTACTACTACTGCAGCAGTTCACCCAGTCTGAGTGGTGAGTACAAGTAGTACTAATACTACTACTACTGCAGCAGTTCACCCAGTCTGAGTGGTGAGTACAAGTACTACTAATACTACTACTACTGCAGCAGTTCACCCAGTCTGAGTGGTGAGTACAAGTACTACTAATACTACTACTACTGCAGCAGTTCACCCAGTCTGAGTGGTGAGTACAAGTACTACTAATACTACTGCTACTACTGCAGCAGTTCACCCAGTCTGAGTGGTGAGTACAAGTACTACTAATAATACTACTACTGCAGCAGTTCACCCAGTCTGAGTGGTGAGTACAAGTACTACTAATAATACTACTACTGCAGCAGTTCACTCAGTCTGAGTGGTGAGTACAAGTACTACTAATACTACTACTACTGCAGAAGTTCACCCAGTCTGAGTGGTGAGTACAAGTACTACTAATAATACTACTACTGCAGCAGTTCACCCAGTCTGAGTGGTGAGTACAAGTACTACTAATACTACTACTACTGCAGCAGTTCACTCAGTCTGAGTGGTCAGTACAAATACTACTAATACTACTACTAATACAACTACTACTGCAGCAGTTCACCCAGTCTGAGTGGTGAGTACTACTAATACTACTAATACTACTACTACTGCAGCAGTTCACCCAGTCTGAGTGGTGAGTACTACTAATACTACTAATACTACTAATAATACAACTACTACTGCAGCAGTTCACCCAGTCTGAGTGGTGAGTACTAATACTACTAATACTACTACTAATACTACTACTGCAGAAGTTCACCCAGTCTGAGTGGTGAGTACAAATACTACTAATACTACTAATACAACTACTACTGCAGCAGTTCACCCAGTCTGAGTGGTGAGTACAAGTACAAATACTACTAATACTACTAATAATACAACTACTACTGCAGCAGTTCACCCAGTCGGAGTGGTGAGTACAAGTACAAATACTACTAATACTACTACTAATACTACTACTACTGAGTTCACC